TTAAAAACAGTCCAGGTGATCTGCAGTGTTCTCTGTAATTAGCAATTACATTTTAGAACTACAATGTACTTCCACGGTATTTCTTAGAGCACTTTTTTATTGTTCTTGATAAAAAAAAAAAGCCAACTTCAGTTCTATCCAGCTCTGTAAAATGCTCAGTGCTGTGTATCTGTGCGAGTCACTGAAGGTCATTCCTTTCACACGGGGTGATGGGATTTCACCCTCACACTACAGGAATGTAAATAGCTCAAAGAGGTAGGGCACTGTGTACAAGGCTCTTTCCAGATATTTAAAAAGAACAAAGCTGTTGACTAAACACTCCTGTGCTCTCATGGAACTTGATAGGCACACTGACTTTAGCACTTCTGAGAAATAAAGCTTTTATCTTTTACTGTGATGCGTGTTGTCTAGTCATCTGATCTACTGAGAAATGAATACAAGGAAGGTGTTAATGCTAATGATAGCAAATCAGAATGGTAATGTTTTACACCCACTTTTCAGTCACTTTGCACAGATAACAGAGTGGAGCAACAGTAAAGCAAGCTCAGAGAATGCTGAATAGGAATCATGTCAAGATGTCATCTTGTAAATATACTCTTTCTTAACAGAAAACTACTGGTGAAAAAGGCAAGAGCATTGGTCATATGATACTTCTTTCTGATAGTTCGTCATTTCCATATACCTCTGTGAACTTAACCTGCAGCAGTAATACAATATTGCCATTTTCATAGACGTTTTTCCACATCATACGAATGTGCCGCAACAGATTCTTATTTGCTCAGGCTGACTGCTTAGAGAAGTCATCTGCCTCCAGAGGCCAGGGCTGAAAAGCCGCTTATCTCACAGGGTATCTGTACACCAGTAGTCAGCCTCTGTAGTAATGAGGACAGAGGCGCAGCAGCTCAGGACAGACTCATCACGTGCGTATTTAGCCACGGTCTGAGCAGTCAGTATTGCCTGCAGCTCCAACGCTATCAGAACTCTATCACCCTCAAAATCAGCTCTCATCTGTCAAGATGAGCTGCAGTCACACTTTAGACTGCAGTGCAGTCCTATCTTTAGATACATGGTTTCAATTTTAGGAAAATAGGAATTCCAAGAGGAAACCTATTCTATCTCATCTCAAGCTGTCACATGCATCACCCTTTAAAGTTTGCATTTTTGCCTATGATCTTGCCAGTGTTGCTTGAAAGTCAAGACTATTATTTACTGCTTGCCTAGTGCAAATGTGGTCCATTTGTCACTGGATGTGGCTGTCCCATTCCTCTTTTTCGTGCTGCTCCCAGCACTGTGCCTGAGCTTTTTTGTGGCAGTTCTGGTAATGCTGCAAAATGCCACGGTAGCTTACTAAGGGGAAAGAAAAGGATTCCTTCATTGTTAATGGTTTGGTTTTGTAAAAGTAGTGACCAAAACTGGCTCACTAAAAGTCAGGTAAATATTGGATTTGGTCCAGATTGGTGAGTATGAGAGAAGATGAGGAATGGGAGTTTCATTCACGAGAGCAACGAGGTGCTGGTTCACCACAGCTTGGCTTACTGAAGTGTGCTTCAAGACAGAGCCTTGTGCTCTCCATCTGCTCACAGCTGAAAGCGAGACACCAGCACTCTCAGCTTTTAATGAGGACTTTAAATTGGTTCTGCTACTCTATTGGCCTTAGTTACCATGAAAATTTTATACTTTTACAATTAAATGCCTAATTTTGAATGGATTTATCTTTTCTTGCAGTACTGCATACACAAAACAAATTGCAGAAAACCTGTGTAGCTTGCCTTTGTTATACTGAATTACATCTACGAAGATTTCAACTACTGAACAGCCTTGGCTTTTATAAAGGATCATAGTGATCGATATGAGTGTCCTGGTTTCAGCAATGGATTACATATCTCTGAAAACATGGAACTTTCAGCCTCATAACTATATTTTCTACACAGAAAAGAAAAGAGTGGTTTTTTGAATTGTTCTCAGACGATTAGTCTCAAGTTTAAATCTAATTCTGGTGACCTAAACAGTCAAAACCTTTCAGCAACAGATTCGATTCCTTCAACCAATCAATATGCTAGAGTAAAAAAATGCTTTTTGTTCTAATTTTCTTTTTAAAAGTGTATTAAAATTGCAGGATGAAAACAGAGCAGGAAAATTTTCAAAGGAACTCAGCTCTTAGAAACTCTCAGCATGAACAGATTTTCAGAACTCAGAAAAAACCCTAAAACCAAACGATAACATACAGAAGAAATGTTGTAATTCTAAATAATTATAAAATCCTATGAAAAATACTGTGTAGATCACTTCTTAGGTGAGGTATCATGTAGTATCTAGACATCCCACATAGTGTGTAGCAAGCCAAGTCTTTCTATGTTACTATAGATGTATACAGAAATGGCCTATAAACACTCATAACTGTAAATAGTCATGGAGATTTGTGATGAAAACTTTTACTTGATTCTTATTTAGATTATGTAACTAATGTCCATATATTTCCATTTTCCAAGTAAACAGATTACGTAACTATGGCCCTAAAAGATATTCATAATCTACATGTTCAGAAAGGCTGAAAGTATAGGCATTGGAACTATTTCTTAAAGAATGTTTCTCTAATACACCATTGATATGAGTCCATTTCCATAAGAATTTCTATCATCAATCTGGTCTCATCTTCAGTGTGTGATGCAGGTGTTTTCTATGTACATATTTATTCAGCTCATCTGTCTTTACACTTCTCAAAGGAATACCTTAACATAGAGAATATAGAGAATACTGCTGCATAAATACAAGCTATTAAATTCTTTTTTCCATTGAAACAGATTAGACATAAATCAGAACTTGCATTATCACACACCCTTCTTTCACAATGTACATCTCCATGCTCATGTTACTCAAAATTTCCTTTACAAGTTCCTTCATCAAGAAGGTGAAATGGAGAAATCAGATATGTGTTACTTCCCATAGTACATGTAGCAATTTAGCAAGTTAAATATTAACAAAGTCTCTTTAAGTCTGAAAGACCAAAAGTGCTGCAGCATGATCAAATCATTGCGTAAACTGCATGGCATTTAAAAAAAAAAAAAAAAAGGAGCAAGAAGGAAAAAAAAGGGCGAGAAAAAAACAAAAATTGAGTAAAGGGAAAAAGCACCACTGAATAATGGAAAAGTTGTGATGGGTTTTACAAAGTGGGAGCAGGCCTCTGTGTAAGTAATGGCAATCTTAGCAAGAGCAACTCAGTCAAATCTCTATGCAATCTCTCTCCATTCTTCCCTCTCTCTTTTATCCTGTAATGGTTCTTTTAACATGTAACAATGCCCAACAATAATCTTCTAGTAGTTAGGACTAAAAGACTGCAGACTTGCTTTGTCCTCAACACACCTGAATGTTCTAAGATGTAAATATATTAATGGCAGAATATGATATATTTTACAGGAAGTATTTTCAGAAGTAAATTATAAATTGCATTTTTCAAATGCTTTCGCATTTTGGAATCACATAGAGAACTTTCTAACTAAAAAAAGTGATGATTTATAGCCAAGAAAAAACAATGATGGGGTAAATCTTGCTCTTGTAGGAAAGATGAAACTCTTAACATATATGTTAGCATAAAACTTCACTCTCAGGAGATATATGAAAAGTTTCCCAAGGCAAAATAAATTTCTCAACACAATTTTCCAACAGAACCACGGAGCACCACTTCAGTAGACTGCAATCACCCAATTCTCAACTAGTTTATTTTAATATTTTCTCAATTATCACAAAAATCATTATCGTTACACCACATTTTTTCTATTTTGCCCCTAAAATTAGGATTTTAATATCAAAGCAGTAGAGCAACACAGAAAAAAACATATTAATTTGAAATTAATCAAATTAATGTTTATTGGGGTTTTTTTTCAAATTAATGAGAGACACCAAAAACTTCAAAATACTGATAGGGTTTTAAAAATATTTTCAAGAACATATTGTTGTTGGAGAAAGTTGGCTAGAATTTTCAAAAATAAGGGGGAAATTTGGTTTTTAAATCAGTGATCAGATTCCTAGGCAGGTGGCGTGATTTTCAAAGGCACTGGCCATTTGGCAGGGCAGTTTTCATGGGCAGGGCAGTGTTTCATCCTTTTGAAAAATTTGTCCACCTCCTCAGGGCTCTGACTGAGAAGCAGGGACAGACTTCTGTAGGACTATATCTGGGACAGCTCCTGCCCTACACAGCCTGGCCCACCTCTCTCTTGCACTCTGTTGCCTTCACCACAGGACCAGCTCCAATGCTCTAGAGCAGCCCCTGAACAGCTGTAGGTGAAACCACAGCCAGCCCTGTTAAAAGACACAGAAATTAGCACCACTTTACTCATGCCAAGTATTATTTCTGGTGCCTAGACTGTGAATTGCAATGGATGAGGCTTGGATGGGAAAAGAACTGGGAAGAAAATGGAAAGGATATGCTTTCCTCTGCAGGTCTCACCTTTGACAATATTCAGTTTAATGTCAAGCAGCTTGTGCAACTAACTCCAGGTCTTGGATGGCACATTTGGGGAAGTTTGGGGCAACAAGGGTAAAGGACAGGGCACCCTAGGAACCCAATTTTCAGGTGAATAACATATATATAGCTCATTCTGCTTATTCCTCCTCTTATTTCTTCCCTTCTGATTATTCTATCCTTAATGAAATACACATAAAAATAACAGCAGAAGAAGAATACCATAGTATTGATAGAATATTCCCAATAAAATAACATTTTTTAAAATGAATAAGGTTAAATTATTTGAATAAGGTTAAATTATTTGACAATAGTCTTTTTAGTTTCTGGTAGTTAATCAGGGAAGTAGCAAAATTACCTGCAAAAACAGTTTAAACATATCATAGGATATATGACACTGAGTCTAATCCAGTCCTTAGATCTGTGACAGATCTAACTCAGACTCAGGTCTGAGTGCTTTATTTTACTAGAAGAATAATGGTTTCAGAGTATGAAGAAAATTACAATCCGAAAAATATGTGCTCTGTGTATTCTGGGGGCTTTACATGTCATATTTTTTTGCTGTCATTTTTTCTCCTTGCTGAGATTCCTCTGTGAAAAAGATTATGAACAGTATTTAGCTACATATTCAGAAATGTTCAGAGAAAAAAATCATATTCTGTCATGGCATTGTAAAGAACGGTAACATTTTACACAGAATCCAGCAGGTCTTAATTTTGGCTTATCTCTGCCAAATCTGCAGAATCTGATTTATAATGCAGGACTTGGATCACAACTCTCTAATTTCTAAGTTAGTTAAACTGAAATTTTGATTGGAAACAACTGGACCAGGTTGGTTAAGATAAGAACTACCTCCACAGGCAGCCTTGCATTTCTTAGGATGAACCCCTTTCCAGGCATGCTTGAACAGTCATTTCTGTCATTGCTATTTACAGTAAAAGGTTAATGAATATTTATTGAGTTTATTCAGCAAATATTCCAGCTGCCAAGACGTGAAAAGCTATTGGGAAATTATTATTAACACAAGTTTTGTTTGTTTTCTATTTAAATTTGAAAAAGATAAAACAGTGCTCAGAGAAAGCAGTAATGCTTTTCATATTTTTAAGATTGGTCATTCAATTCAATGGCTTACAGTTTCATTTGAAAAAGAAAAAACAAACATTTTTACCTTCAGAATAGAAATTTTTGACAATTCCTAGGGCAAAATATATCTTGTAGTTAGTGTTAAAAATATAGTTACAACTAAAGATAAGTTCCGGTGATAAAAATTTTCCCTAAGTTAAACTAGTAAAAGTCAGGTTGTCCTATTAAAAATCAATTTATATTATATTATTATATATGATATTATATAATATCATCTGGAACCATAAATAATTTAATTTAATAATAACTCAGAGTTCTGCCACTGCATCATATCAGAAGAGAAGTAATCTGGTGCCCACACAATTCTTCTGCTACAGCTGTAGTTCCAGCAAAGTCCCAGAGTAAAGGAAACGTGATTAAAGAATTACAGTCTTAATGGATTGTGTACATTTTTATATAGAAGGTTCATGTTTTATTTCAGTGCAGGTTTTAATGAATAAAATTGCATATTAGACTTTTTTGAAGGAATCAAAGTGCTATAAAATTACTCATGGTCATTTACTCATGAGAAAGTATTCTGTCTTCTCTGGTTATTACAGGAAGATATTCCTTCTTCCCTTACTTCAGCAAATCCCTATCTATCCTTCGATTCTGATAAGGTATAATCAGTTACAGATCACCTTTCTTCAGTATGCATTATAGTATCTAAGAAGACATTCAATATCAATTTATCAAGAAGCTTCAAATGTTAATATTTACCATCTTTTTTGCCTAATTAGTGTTACCCCACAGAAGTCTCCTGGCTTGGTGCTGTGTGTACCTGCCTGAACTCTTTTGCCAGCAGAGCCAAAGGAATAATACAAGGATGTGAATATGCAGCCAAGGATAGGGAAAAGGCAGGGCTCTTTCTGTGAGGGATGTTATTGGCTTATGCCAAGTTTAAGTGATTGCAAATTTAAAATATTATTCAGGAGATTCCTTTAAATGCTCCAGAAGATTGCATCCCTTCCCTTTATCTTCTAAGGAACATAAAAGTGTCTAAATAGCAGAAGGTGTGGCAAAAACACTAAAAAGCACTCTTTACTATAGAAATCTCTGCAACTTTAAACATTTTACTTCTGCTATCATCTATGCACCTATGGAAAATATTTTTAAAGGAAAACTCTATCATAGCCAATACTAATAATTTAAAGTAGTAAGCTAATTCTCATTTAGTGTTCTAAGAAGTACTTTAAAACTGGTGATTTTTTTTCTTATTTCTTAAACATATAAGGAGAACTGTCATATTTCTTATCTCTCAATATTTCCTATCTTTCCATTAAAATAGAGGCAGTTCACAGGAGAAAGCTGAAAAAAAAAGAAACAGAAAAACAGAATTCTGAATTTCCTGTCAAAGTCTTTATACATTAAAACAACATTTCCTTTACATAAGATGTAGAGGACACTATAGCAAAAAATATTTCTTCATAGATACAAAATAAAATCTCTTCCATTGCAATATTAAGTGAAAAAATATAAAGAAATTTTGTGACTCCCTCAAATGTAGCTTCTAATAATTCCAGTATTGTAAATAATCAATTACTCTCCTTATGATCCGTCAAAACTTTGTACTGTGAATTCTAAGGTATCTCCATACTCAAACTGTGTGGAATTTCAAAGCCTTTTGTGTTCAAGGGCTGCAGCTCAGTCCTGAAATTTTGCCTTCTAGTATAATTTGTTCCAGAACTTAGACTTTCAGGAACTCTCTAACCTGAATGAAGCAAATGTTAGAAACAATGATCTCATTCTGATCTAATTTAGCTCAGTGTAACTTTAAAGCCAAAGTTGTTGAAGATGTATGAAACTGGCACAAGTAGGATTGAAATCAGGTCCCTTATCTTAGACTTTCAAAGTGAGAGCACTGTGACGGTATCCCACTAGATTGGCATCACTGCTCATGTAAGACATGCACTATTGTTGCAGTAGCACTCACAAAGTGTGCGTTCTGTTCCTCACACCGTGATTTCCCACACATTTTTAACTTGTGATGAGTGTATTGCTTCCAAATAGACTTCAGTCTCTGTCAAAAACTAAACTGCATCGCTACCAGACTATTTTCAATATTGCAATAAACAAGTAGGTCCTGCAAGCTGTTCCAAACACGAGAAACATGTCTATAATGAAAAAGTGCATTTCAATCAACAACAAAGAGACACTGAAGTATATAAATAAGCTCACTGAAGCCTATCTATCCATATGGTATGTGGAGGATGTTGGTCAACGGCAGGCTGGGCCAGCAGTGTGCCCAGACAGCCAAGAAGGCCAATAGCATCCTGGTCATCAGAAGTAGTGTGGCCAGCAGCACCAGGGAAGTTATTGTACTCCTGTACTCAGCACTGGTGAGACTGCATCTCGAATACTATGTTCAGACTCTCATCTCACTACAAGAATGATACTGAGGTGCTGGAGCACGTTCAAAGAAGGGCAATGAAGCTAGTGAAGGGGCCTTGAAAACAAGTCTTATGAGGTGCAGCTGAGGGATCTGGAGCTGTTTAGTCTGAAGAAAAGGAGGTTCAGGAGAGACCTCTACAACTACCTGAGAAGGAGATTGTAGCATGATAGGGGTTGATTTCTTCTCCCAAGTAATAAGAGATAGGACAAGAGGGAATGGCCTCAATTTGTGCCATGGGAGGTTTAAATTGGATATTAGGAAAAATTTATTCACCAAAAGGGTTGTCAAGCATCAGAACAGGGTGTCCAGGGAAGCGGTTGAGTCACCAGCCCTGGATGTCTTTAAAAGACATGTAGATGTGGCACTTTGGGACATGATTTAGTGGGACTCGGCAGTGCTAGGTTAGTGGCTGAAATCAATGATCTTAAGGGTCTTTTCCAACCTAAATGATTCCATGATTCTATGCACATGAGTTTGATAATAAAAACGGGCATCCATTTAGCTCTCTTGTTTTAATAAAAGAACAGTGAAGACAAACACCAAAATTAAGAACTGCACCTCTGACAAAATATAGACACATTTGCCTTTCCCATCACAGATTCCACCCACATCAGATGTCAGCCGCCGTCTGTGCAAACAGATAGCTCTCGCGGGGTGCTCAGTAAGGTGGCTGGGAGCATGGCTTGTGTGTATGCCTGAACTGTTTACCACCACTGGAAAATCTACTATGTCCTACTTTATATTTAGAGCAAATTAGAGTAATATTTAGAGCTGTCACATGCCTACATTTCCTTGAATGAATTATCTTTTTCCATGTAGACACTGTCTTTTGCCGGAACCTTGGAGTTTGAAAGATTTGTAAAGAATTGTAGGACAGCTAGGACCCCCAAATGTTTAGGGAAGGAGCAGAAGGAACCCCAGCGCCAGCACAGGTAACCTCTCCATTGCTTATGTTCTGAGCAGGGTACAACAGCCCCAGGGATCATTGGCTTCCTTGAGCGTGGCTGTGGCAAGTCTCTTTAGGCTGGCACTTTGATGGACTGCAGGTGTGACGGTATTACCACAAGGAATATATGGGCAGTGGTACTGTTTGATTTTTTAACTCTACATTGAAAGCCTGTAGACACGCAGAATAAGCCTGCAGCCCTCTGCTTCACATCTGTTTCATGTTGGCTGACAAATTATGGGGGCTCTTTCAAACCTGCCCTAAGGCCTATTCCTTACATTTGCACTCACAAACATCTAACTGAAAATGCAAATAAAAAATACTTTCGTATTCTCTCACAACAGAAGACACTTGGATTGGACAAGCAATGGAGACAGCTTGGCCTAACTTGCACATCACAAAAACCAGCTTCATTTGGAGCTTTGTAAGTGACACAGTTCAATGTTCACTTTACTGCAATTAACACTAAAACTGTTCTTAGTTTATAAAGCATGTTTCTCAGAGACTTGAAACTGAACCAAGTAAACTGAGATGTTTTTGAGAAACTGGTAAATTAAACAATCTAAAACATTAGAAATGTTATTATGAACTTTAAGTTTACTGATTGAGGACCTATTTTACTTGCATTTAAAATCTCCAGTTTCATAAAAGAACTGGCATGCCAAGAATATCTTTTCTCCAACATTTTAAGCAATTTTGTTCTTTCTGTATTAGGGAAAATAGAAATATACCTAATATTTTGGTACAAAACATATTGGGATTTTTTCCTTCCTAGCACAGGAAATCCTGCCACGGAGAAACAGCCTTGGACTGTCTGCTACGCTGATGTCTAGGGCTGGCAATAAGTGTTGCAAATGAAGACATCATCTTTGCAGCTTCAGAGGCCTGGTATTCACAGCAAGAGTAGAGAAAAATTCCTTAGACAAGTTGGAAAAAAATCTTGTGAGCTTCAGAAATTTTGAGTAGCACAATAAGAATTATCCATCCTACACAGAGAAAGAGGTAGATGCCATCTAAATTCATATTCAGTTATGTCATTAGAACAGTTTTAACACGTATGAAGGCCTGCAGAAAATTCAATCTGCAAAATGTGACTAATTCTGGAACAACCTAAGTTTCAAGTAAACATGGTTATAATCTCAGCTATGTCCATTTTATGAAGTTGTCATGCACTTTTTCCTGACCTTTTGGTCAGGACCTTTTGGAGGACCCTTTGGCTCCTCATCACAGTCCTGCACTTCTCACCTTGCCAAGCCCCCTCTGAGCGCTCCAGGTCAACGCTGCCAGGCCGACACTTTTTGCTCAGTGAAGTCTCAGACCAAAGCTCCGAAGCTCAGTTCAGCCTTCCTGTCCTTCTCTCTGAACACCTTTTTCCCAATCATCTTTCCCAAATTGCTGCTTCTGCTTCTCAGCAGAAGCTCTCAGGAAGCTCCAGTTCTCACCTTCCCAGTTATCTTTACCAGGGCTGTTTCCTTGACTACATTTGTTCTTCCCAAAATACATGTCACAGGTTGATCTACCAGCTTTGGTCTCCTCTATTCTTCAGCCTCAGCTTCCATCTCAATCACCTGGTTCCCAGCCACTCAGTGACATTTTGCTTTTCAGTTCCTAAACTTCCTCCCCTTGCCTGCTCATCTTCCTGAAGTCTCCTGATTCCCATTCCAATATGCCAGTCCTCAGCCTAGTTTGTGACCCAAATTTACTGGTCCAAATATAGTCACATCACAAAAAGTATGCAGAATCCATCTCTCTTTTCTGCAGCTGAATCTCTGTTTACAATGCCTCTTCACCGTGCCTGTGTTTCACGTAGATGTCTACTGGGTGCCTGAGTGTTGTCTGGGTTTTCATCAGCTTTCTCTGCTCACAGTTTCCCTTGTCCCCCATGGAGAGGAGACAGGAGCATTCCAAGGCAACAGTTTCTCTGGCCGTTACCAGAAACATGCAGGGAAATAATTTTGCCTTATTTTTCCCTGAAAACAATCAGATTATATTTTTAAAAATCAAGGAAATAATTACATTAGAGAGCTACTGAAATGAGATCAGACCTAAATAATTAAAGTCACAGTAAAGTAATAATGGATGCTTTTCCCAGAGCTCTTAATTCAGCAGCTGGTCCATGTCTCTGTTGGACTTGTAAAATTTCATGGCTATCTTCATTTTGTATGCATATGTATGTTCCAACCATATATACATATCAAACCTTTTCATTTTGGAGATAAGCTTAAAAAGGTAAACTTGCAGTCTTTTTAAGAGCATATGACTGAATCTTTCCTACCTTTTTTGATAATTCACAATTTTTGGACTAGTTTCTTAAAACCGATGAAAGGGCTTTGTAAAATCTCAGATGCAATTCAGCGAACAGCTGCTCCTGCAGCTCAGGCCCAGACTGCTCCTCACAGCTGAACATTTGTTCATATTTATTTGCAGAATCTGTGAAAAGATATGGGTACTCCACAGAGAGTGGAATTATTCTCCTCTTTTGGAGAACTCATTATTACTTCATCCAAATTCTCACTCTAACACTGCCACCCTTCATCACTCCAAGCCCAAATGTTTTATATTTAGCATTACATCTTTGGCCAAACAGAGTTTGTGTGTGGCTTAAAAGAACAGCTGAGATCCTCAGGCCTGGGGGGTTTTTGAAGATCAGAAAGTGAATAATTTGGGAAGAGGAGAAACTCATTTTTATAGGAGGTGTTTAAAATATTTAATTGTATTTAATCAGTTACGGAAATAATGTATTGCAATACCAGGAAGACAGATGGAGGTTTATGTGCTGGATTCCTTTTGGACTTATAGGGTCTATGAATGCAGGCTGGTTTATGTGGTAAGACGATTCATGAAAATAAAAAGAATGAGGGAGGACTCTGTGAGTCTACGTGGTGAAACATGTTCTTCCTCTTCATCCTAGTAAATCTCTTCTCTCCTTCCCCATGCTTAGCAGAACCCAAATCTTCCGCAATCCACTCAAATTCTTTTCTTGAGCTTCTGCTCCAAGAGTTAAAGAGTGGGGATAATTATATAGTCCAATACATGACCATGGCTGCTGAGGCTGACATCAGCTGGTTCTGGGTATAGATCTTAGTGCTGGGATGGCTGCCTGCTCCATGCATGGTCCCTGCCTCCAAGCACAGGCAGAAACAGGGTAAAAACAGAACCACCGCACTCAGGCTAGAATCAGGCACAGTCAGAAGCAGTCAGACCTTTTCCCCAGTTCAAGCAGTTGTTCTCTTCCTCTAAAAAAAACCCTAAGGCTATGCTCCACACTAGTTCCAGCCACAGGCCATGCTGACACAGCTACTCTCTATATGTCACAAAAACTGCCTACAGTAATTCAGCAAGGTTAAAAAAACATTTTGTCCCACAAGATTTTTCAAGCTTTTTTCATTTGTTTCTAAAATACATGCTCAATTTAGTTTCATTCAAAATCACAGAAATCAGCACAGACATGACATTATCTACTGTCATCAATAATAATGTTTTCTTTGACAGTTAAAATACAAAATAATTTAAAGGAAAGGTATAATTTATGGTATATTATTATGACAGAGAATCTAAGATTGCATAGTATGTTATAAATGCATATAATTTGTATATTGTTTGTATAGTATTCTGTATGCTGCATTTCCTGTGCTGAATTTCATTACCTATGCACTTTATAACTACTTCCCATATATTCATTTGGTCTATTTTCCTCAGGGTTGCCACTAAGAACATAATCGTGAACACCTTGAAGTTGAGAGATTTTCCACTCATCAGGAAGACTAAGGGGGTCAAGGTTTCATCACAGTTTCATCAAAACCCCTAAGCCCCAAACCAAGTATAGGACCTTGTACTTGGCCTTGTTGAACTTCAAGGGGTTTGCATGGGCCCACCTCTCCAGCCTGTAAAGGTCCCTCTGGATGACATCTGTTCCCTCCAGCTTGTCGACCACACTACACAGCTTGGTATCATTGGCAAACTTGCTGAGGATGTACTCAATCCCACTGTACATGTCACCAACAAAGATGTTAAACAGTGCTGATCCCAATAACGACCCCGAAGGAACACAATTTCCTTCCATTCTATACTACCTTGCTCCTTATTTATCAGACCATATTTGCTGCTATTGACATATTGACAAATAACATTCACTTATTTCACTAACTCTAATTACTTGCTTCAGAATCAATTTGATAGCAATATCAATAAAAAATGGTAGCTAATTTTCTATTCCCAATCGTCAACAACAGATGACCATTCATGAGAATTAGTAAGGTGGCACTAACATAAGAATAATACCAGAAAACAGGTAATAATTACTGTACCTTAGACCAATAATATACATTAAGGTAAGTAAACTAATATTATGAATTTGCTTCATTTTAAACTAACGGTCCCCAGTGCTTTCATATTTAAGTCATCCATTACCTCTGGATAGGTTGTGAATAATTTCAATTAATCTTAGCTTTTCTTTCTGACAATGGATTAACTCCAACATTATGAATCCTAAAAAGCAGTGAAACCGAAAAGCACCACAGCCCCACAGCAAAAAGAAACCTGCAGTGGTGATATAAACCACATTAGTCACTTTAAATTTGTTTAAAAACTCAAATGGGTTAACTTCATGCACATTTTTTTTCAGCGGATCAGATGCTCTTTAACCTGCAGCAACCAGCGTGAAACCAGCATAAGCTCTGTATCATGTGCTCTAGTTAATTCAACAGAAATGCGGTCATGCGCCCACACTTGATCCAGATCAAATATGCACTCATGGCAATCCAGGAGTACACAAATCTGGTATTAATGGACATGAAACCATGGCCTTATATGACAGCCTAGCTTTAGATACAGTGCAGATTTAACAGGTTTTTCAATACGCATATTTTTTCCTTTAGCATATCCAAATACTTCTAGTAGCCACAATGTTATTTTCCATGTAAATCTTTACATTCAGGTGTAAGAAAATGAACCACAAAATCATAAAAAACCAACTCCCATCACAATAAACTTGAGTCACCTGTGACGGGCTGTAGACATGTGGCTGCAATCAGTTCTAACAGGTAAAATAAACATACAGTGAAACAGAAACTACAGCACATCTAGATAATGAAACAGTCAACAAATTAGAAATCTTACCTTTTTCACTAACGCTCTCACTTTCAATTTCTACGTCATCACAACTCGTATACTCTGGAGTGGACGCCAACTCTTCTTCTGAGCTACTTAATGAAACCTGGCGCATTTTACCTCCCTTTTTTGTTTTATGGGGCTTTGGCGGTGGAGGTCTGACAGATTCAGACTGGTCTGAGCTGAGTGAATCATTCCGTAACATGGTCTCCATCTTTTCACGCTTTGTTTTCCGTACAGCAGAATTGGGATCCAAATGGTGTTGTTTCCTTAATGAATCAGATCGCCTGATGTCTGGTCTTTCTAGAGGAATTGGGCTCCTCCTAGGTGTAGGAGGGCTATGATTCGTGGTCCTCTGACGATTGGGACTTGGTCCCTGAGCCTCTCGAGTTCTTTCCATAGAGTATGAACGCTGATTTTCCATGGCAGCCCTGCGCTCAGACACCGACCTTTGTCTTGACGGCCGTTCCATCCTCAGCATAGACATTCGAGAATCCTCCAATTCAGTATTTGCCAACGAGACATCACTATGTCTCCGCTCATGACGTGCTCGGGACACTTCGGCGTGGATACGCATTTGTTCCTCATACGGTTGTGGCTTGACTGGATAACGAGCCAAATTAGGATCACTTCGGTATCGTGCCTGGTATTCCTCTTCCCTCCGCTGCCTTTCATATTCTTCCCTGTTTTGTGCATCTTCCTCTTCTACCGGATACTCCTTGGAACGCCTGCGACTCCTTCTGCTGGAATCTCTATAATCACCCAGTTCAGGTTCTTCATATAACTGAGGCCCACGCTGCGACCGCCTATCTGAATAATCTGATGGTGACCTGGGCATCGCACTGTCTGATGTAGCATACTGTGAATATTCGTCTCTCTCGTCCCTTTGGTCGTATCTTCTGTTCTGTTCTCTTGATATTGATGGGCTTCTTTTCCTAAATAATCATGACAAGAAAAAGAAAGAGAATTCTGTCAATATTTCTTGAAGCACAAATACACATTTCATGTTAATTAAATGATAGAATGATCAGCTGATGGAAAAAAATAATTTGTTGATTGCTTTTCTTTGTGAGTGTGCTTGCACATTTCTATATTAAATTAAAGAATGCACGTCATGCATGTTTAAATCAAAAACAGCTTTAAAGGAGAAATGTTAATACAGCATTATAATTAGAATGCAAATACTTATGCTATTTTGTAGTCATAACTGCTTTACAAGTACCAAAATTTTATACTTTCGTAATAATTTTACAGCAATATAACTTGACTATATACTTCTACTTCACGGTCACCACAGAAATTAAGGGTAGATGGATCACTCAGTTTGATATTTTAGCAACCACTATTGCTTAAAAACATATGTTTCACAGTTTCCCCAAAACTATAATGTATACCAAATGCAGAAAACAGGACAGACGAAGATGCAGTGGCAGGACTTGCCTAAATCAGATGAAGTCAGAAAACATCTTTTGTGTTGTATAAGAAGGGAAAAAGCTTCAAAATCCTGCCTGCCTAGCTTGACAAAAAAAATCTTTCCCATCCCTATTGGGATGGCAATAGTATTAGTCCAAGCATTTGACAAAACGCATGAGCAAGATACCAGAATTTCTGTACTACATTAGGTGATATCTAGCCATAGACAACTTCTGAGGCTTCATAGGAAGGTAAAAAAAAGAATTATCAACAATATTCTTTCCTGACGCTGACAGATGACTGACTGAATTACGTGATTGTACTATATGCAGTATTTTAATAGAGGATGCATTTGGAATATATTATGAACGGTACATGTTCTGTTTGTTCAAAACAACATCGCTTGCTACTTGATTAGAAGGGAACAATTAAATAGGGAGTAGTGATTCATAGCGAGGGAGAAAAAAAACAAAAACAAAAAACCCCAAATGAACTGGAGCTTCATATTCTCCTTTTATCAGTCCTAACAGGGTAACGAGCATTTAAAATGCTACTTCCAGACATGCCCAGATTTTCACTTAGTTTTTCACCCCAGATGGATTTGAAGGAGTTACCTGATGGAAACTGGAGAAGATGCCAGATGTGGATAAAAGAGACTGAGAGGTGGACCTTCTCTCAGATAAGATACATCAGCTCAAGCTTTAAGTAATGGAAATATGTATGTGAACCTATTTTTCTGTTATCAGCCTTCTCCTCTTACATTAAGTTCTATCTTAATTATAAAGATGCCTTTCAAAATGTTCTCTACCCTCACAAATGGACACTGATCCTGGCGGGCAGCCTTGCAGGCTCTTGCAGGAGATCCTGCCTCATGTCAGGAAGGATGGGAAAAGGTAGAGCAGAAACACAGTGTTGTAGAAAGAATTAAAAAAACTCCCAAACTTCAACTCAGTGAAGAGGATGAAGGGAAGAAAGTAGAAAGGGCTCTGCCTAGCTAATAGGAGAGAAAATGTTCTTCTCACAGTCAGAAAGGAAATATGGTCTCTGCTCAGCAAGGGAAAACCACAACTGTCTGAGCAGTGTGTGTGCAGGGGTCTGAGTGGCAAATTGGCAAATTCTGTCTTAGGTCCCATACAGGGCCATTAAACTGTACTTAAAAGATTTAGACCCAGTCTTGGCTTGTAAATATTAAAGTCCTTCAGCTTTACAATGGCATCTGCAAATGAGGAAATTAATTCAATCTTGCAAAAATGCAACTCTTCCTGTGAAGCATGACAAGTAGAATAAGCATCATTTTAATGCCTATTTGCTTATGGTGAAGCTAAGATGTCCTATCTGTCTTATTAAAATGTCATTTTAGTACCAGCACAAATCATAACCTCTGTAAATTTAACAAAAACTCTATGGATTCTGCTACTGGGAACTCAAGTTGAATCATTCTAATGTGACATGAACAGAGTTTTGTAAGTCTAAAACCAGAATGGCCAACAAGAACAGACATTTAGGATGACAGAACTACCAGAACACAGACACTGCAAAGATATAGAAGTTTTTATTAAGACAATAGAGATTGGAAGTGGAAATTTACTTTAGGAAATATAAAAATTTTTTTATTTAAATACTTCAGCTGCTGAATAATATGCCACATCCCCAATTAAGTTGTACCAATAGCAAATTACTTAGATCACTGAAAATTTCTGCCATATCTAAAATAAAAATGTGCCTAATTTCTCCACTCCAATTCTGTCTCTCATATAGGCAAAATCTTTTTTCTCTGTGCAAATTCAGTTGGAATAAATGGCACCATTGAGCCAAACATGTGCCCATGAAATGTACACATGCTCTACTGTTAAAAGCCACATGGTCTATAGTACCTATGGATCAAATTGCATTCACGGCCACAGATTTTTGCAAAGATTTGTTCCTTCAAGATATCAAAACACTCTAGTGAGTATAGTTGCATGGTTTATAGAATCAACTCCATCACGAGTACCTCCAACTGTATAACACACAAAATCATAGAGAATCTAGTCTGACAAATGTCACATGTGCCTTGAAGCAGAATGAGTGTATAGATTCTTCAGGATTAAACATCTGCATACACATATCTATTGTCATATAACAAGAGTAGTGGGGATTGTTTAAACTATAAGTAGGAGATCATATACACACATAACATACGTGTATGTATATATATGTGAATCCATGTCACAATATCCTCATATAGATGCAAAGAATAGTGGACAAATGTCTTCTGGAAACACAGCTGTTATAAAAGTCATGGAGAGAGAGGCTGAGTGGATAAAAAGATGGAGTTTCTGTATGAATAAAACCACTTGTTTTAGACTTTTTGCTGAGGCAAATGTACTCCTATCAGGAAGACACATCATCTGAGGAACTGGCGCAAAATTTACTAAAAAAATCCACTCTTTTCTAGCATAAACTATGTTAATGAGAGCATTGTATTTTTATATCTCTTACACAAACATTTTCTAACCTTGTTTGTTACATTTACCACATGCAGTCATTGCCTTTCCTCTATTTGGTTGCTAATACATGAATATAGGAATGCTATTTACGGCTGACAATAATATAAAGATCACCTGGGTCCTCAAACTGTTCCAAGCTTTCATGAAAGAAAAAGCTTTACACAGGTGCCCTGGATGTTAGGAAGAAATTCTTCGGTGCGAGGGTAACAAGACTCTGGAATAGATTGCCCAGAGAGGCTGTGGATGTCCCCTCCCTGGAGATGTTCAAGGCCAGGTTAGGTTAGATAAGGCCTTGAGCAACTGGTCTAGTTGAGAGGCATCCCTGCCCATGGCAGGCAGGTTGGATTAGAGGACCTCTAAGATCCCTTCCAACCTAAGACATTCTATTCTACATTCTGTGTGGCATCTACCATGCCACCCGCAAGAATTAGTACTTTCCTGAAAATGCAGTCTTTTTCTTCAGAGAAAGCAGCCTGATAGATAAAAGTACCTAATTTAATTCCCGTATTATGATGACTGGCAGTATGAAACTCCCTTTCTAATTAAACTCAACCCTGTTGAAGGGATCTAACTTTACTACCAGGATGAAATGCCATAAATTGTAACCTTATCTATCAGGAATAAATTAACCATACCTGTACACCCGATTGGCTAAGAAACCTTGCTGGCAGGAGAGGGCTCATCCTGCCCAGTAGTCACCATACCACTTAGGATTTAAGCCTGTCATTCTCTTTACTGGTCATCGCAACACAATTGGTAACCCCTGACCATTAGTCACTGGTTTTCATTTTATAATTACCTGCTACAAACACAGCTGTACAATGTATGCTACACATTTTAACCCAGTGTTATTAAATCATGGTAGGAGGTACAATACTCATGAAAACTTATGGCCAGTCACCACTATTAAAAAATCTGCTGTTATTTTTAGATCACAAGCTGATTCTCAATCACCTTCATAAGCCTTTGTCTAATACATTTCTCACCATTAACTACTTTAAAGATACCTTAATAAAAGCCTTTTCTCACGTGCCTCCAGGTAGATACACCACAGAAAGTGACTAGTCCTGCCTTTCCAGGACTTTCTTAGAACATTAAAAGTTAAGAGAACTTTAAATGTGTGTCAACAGCTGTGATGTGCACTCTCCAGCTGCCATTTAACTAAGTGCTATATATCTCTTGTCAGAAGGATTACCACCTTTTCTGAAAAGGTTACCACACCACTGAAGAATCCTCCAGGCTATTGTGATTACTGCTTCTTTGAAACAATAATAAAATCAAATCTCTATTATTGTTAGAAAACTCTAGAATCTGCACAAATCTCTTTGCACATTCGATAAATATTGTTTTTTTCAGATATAAAAACTGAAACTATTTCCTACTAATTATCACTGTTTTCTTTAAATTGTAATTTCTCAATACACGACATATGGTCTTTTAAGACACATCTCAATCTTACACTGATAGAAACCTTATTTATAGTGTGCTACAGATATCACTAATATTATGAAAAAGCAAATAGCTTGACTGTAACCCGACCTCCTGCTCATAAATTATTCAACTCCCCCACACTACTATAGAAAGTAAGTTCTTAAAATATGGCATGGAAGAATATAAGACAGCTATTCTGCCTTGATGGCTCTAATTTCAGTAATGGAACAAAATAGCTTGAAAGTATTTCACATTGATTTGTGTTCTTCCTTGAAGAGAAAGCATTCTTTTGCTTTGATTGAGTTTTTTAAAAAATTAACCTAAGCATACTGAGAAAGGTGTATTTCCATCACATTTCAGAAACCACATTCAGAAACCACATTCAGAAAAGAAATGGGCTGTAAAGTATTTGTAGCACAGTCAAAACTAGATCTTACATCTTCCTGACTACTGATCTTGTTCTCAGACCAATATGACACACATCTAACCTGGAGAACTTTCAAGAAAATAACATCCTAAATATATGTTCAAACATGGATACTTGAATTCATCTACATTCCCTTGGAAATTTTTATAAATAAGAAGTTTGGAATCAACTGAAA